AAAAGCAGGGCTTTCCAACAGGTGAGAGGAACAGCACAGAAAACTACACGCATCTGGACAGCGCCTCCGGGCAGCTGATCTCTTTGGAGATCAGCAAAAAGTTTTAAACACAGCAGCTGAGCAGCTGCCAAACCTACTCGCAGGGATTTGTGTAGCTCCTGTCTCTGCGAGGTCCTGGTTGCCTCCGGAATCTCTTTGAGCAGCCGAGCTTCTTCTAGCCGCTTCACCGCCCTGTGAAGAGGAAAGGTGGAGTACCAAGTCCCCATATTTTCCCTGCCCTGCTGCTGGAAACAGGCCTTTCCCCCTTCTTCCCCCAAACTGGGCTAATGCTACAGTCAGTCACTGAGAACTCAAGCTCTAAGCTCACTGCACTTGTCTACCAGCGTACATTCCCCATTCCTTTGATCTCAAGTGGCCTGCGCTACCCACAGTGGGATTAGCGGCTAGATTTTACAAAAGGTTGCATCTCCCTCCTTCATTTGTGCCGTTTTTCCTTACCTGGGGAGCGAGTAGTTAGCAAGCCACAGCCTCGCTGTTTTCAGACTGCGTGGTCCTTCGTGGTACCAGGTTTGCTGATACTGTAAGAAAAAGAACAAAACTGAAGAAAAAGCTAATGTGATACAGCTCTTCCATTCAGTCTCCTTAGATGACCTCCTCTTAGTACGTAAGTGCCACCACAGCATCTGCTCTTAAATTTTGCTGCGTTAAGGCCTCTTTTTAAGGGCATTTTACGTAACTATAAGCCCGAGAAAAAGGGATTAAGAGAAACAAGTCAAACTCTCTGCCCTACGGATCAGATCCTGACGTGCTGCCATTTCACTCAGGAATACTCCAACTGAACACTAACTCATTTTTACCTAATGACGTACAGCTCAACACATCACCCAGTAAAAAGAAAGCCCAGAGCTGCAGAAATTGTCCTTATTTCTTACAGCAATCCCCAAAGATAATAAGGAAAAAACAGACTCGGAGAAGAGAAAGGAGAAGCAGAAAGAAAGAAGAATCAAAGGCAGAAACACATGCAGTAGCAGGAACATATTTTTTTCTTCCCAAGTATGAAGACAAACAACAACAAAGGACTCGCTACACTAAGTAACAGTCCAAACGTCTGATCTCGTTTGTATGCTGTACGCGGCATGGGATTTGGCCTGCAGTACAAGCCAGACTTACTGCTCCTGATTTAGATAACACGTCGCCACAGTTTTGCTAAAATCGGCAACGCAGAAGGAGCATGAAAGGATGACATGAGAATCCAAAGACTGACCAAAACCAAGAGCCCTGGACAGAGGAGAGACCGTCAAAATAAGGCATCTCAGAGGGTATCATACCTGTCTCCCTCAGCACTGAGAGAACAAGAGAGACCATTACCTCTTCTTTGGATTTTTTAGACCTGTCGTCATCTTTCCTGGTCTTTTTTAATGCGTCTGTGCCAACCACCGAAAGGATATTTCTTAATCTGGAAAGAAACACATTAAGTCGCACTCACTCAGTGAATCCTCAGCTAACCTGACAAATAACCACTGTCTGCCATTCTTTCTTCCTCAGCACTCTTGCTGCATTGTAATGAAGCATTACCGGCTGCCGGCACTCATCGCACCCCAACTACAAGGAAAATGTCAGGAATTTGATAAACCGAGAGTTCCCTGTTTGCAACGCTCGGGGCAGACACAGCACCTCTCCCTCCTTTCTGCAGGACCTTCTCCAAAGAGCGTGATGGGCTCCCCGAGTGCTCGCAAACAGGCTTTCACTTCAGAGTCGTCAGTGGACACGTTGATCTGCCGGGCTCTCTTCCTGCGCTCAAACTCAGCCAGCACTTCCGCCTGCCGCTCGCTCATGTGGTCTTCGAGATCAAAGACCTCACCTGAACAAAAAATGAAACATCAGCTTGAAAACAACGGCTGGACGAGAGATCCCGCTCAAACAGGAAGATCCAAACAAAGAGCCAACAGTCCAGGCAACGGTCTCGTGGTTTTGATTTTAAATTATGCTCCAAAGCTGATCAGAGACTTTTGAAAGTGTCACATTCCGGAGCGAGAGGGGGGAAAAAAAAAGAGATTGTTAAATATTCTCACCGCTGCTGATGTTGATGTTGCCAGCCTCCATGGCAGCTTTCATCCCTTCTTTTCCCAGCAACCCCGATTCGCCTTTTGCCAGACGCTCCCTTTCCTTCTCTTCCAAGCTGCCGTAAAAGATGGGGGCTCTCTTGGGTGGGGGAGCATCGCCCTCTTCTGCGGGCTTGCTCTTTGTGGCCTGGAAGGTAAAGGCAGAATTTTAAGTGTGTTTTGGCTAAGAAGGAGACAACAAACAGCTTCTTTGGGCAAGAAAGCTCTGCTACAGAATGTTAGTATGTACGTCACGAAGGGACCCCGAAGTTGTACGCGAGGTGTTAGTTTTCGGCATCAAGGCTATGCCCCACGTGCAAAGATCAAAAGTAAAATGCCACGTTCAGTATTTTTCCTAAATGAGGCTGCGCCGTTTTCTGTTTCTTTATTATCTGCTTGGACCTCGGTTTTAAGGCTCTGAGGTTTTTCAATTTAAAAAAGACCCCGCGGTTTAGAAGACGAAGCTT